CGGCTATATTAGGGGTATTACGGTAGTTACTCACAGGGTGTGCGGCTATATTAACGTTATTACGGTAGTCACTCACAGGGTGTGCGGCTATATTAACGTTATTACGGTAGTTACTCACAGGGTGCGCGGCTATATTAGGGGTATTACGGTAATCAGTCACTGACAAGGCGCGCGGTGCGGCTATATTAGCGTTATTACGGTAGTCACTCACAGGGTGTGCGGCTATATTAACGTTATTACGGTAATCACTCACTGACAAGGCGCGCAGTGCGGCTATATTAGGGGTATTACGGTAGTTACTCACAGGGTGCGCGGCTATATTAGGGGTATTACGGTAGTTACTCACAGGGTGCGCGGCTATATTAGCGTTATTACGGTAGTCACTCACAGGGTGCGCGGCTATATTAGGGGTATTACGGTAGTCACTCACTGACAAGGCGCGCAGTGCGGCTATATTAACGTTATTACGGTAGTCACTCACAGGGTGCGCGGCTATATTAGGGGTATTACGGTAGTCACTCACTGACAAGGCGCGCAGTGCGGCTATATTAGCGTTATTACGGTAATCACTCACAGGGTGCGCGGCTGCCCGTCGTCCTCCATGCCCAGCTCAGGCGGGTTCCCCAGGGGGTCCCTCGGGAAGTGTTGGAGGGGGCAGGGCGGGGGCGGGCTGGGGCTGGGACTCGGCCTCACTGGAGCCTGCAGCAGGTCCACGAATCCTCCGTCCGGCTCCCAGGAAGATGGCGGCTGCGGCCGGCCTCCAGGCAGGGGGAAGCGGCTCATTGCGCAGGCGCGGAGCGTCTCCTCAGACATGCGCGATCCCGCTGCGGTCTCTCACAGTGTGCGTGCGCGCCCACGAGACTCGGCCGTTCAACGTACCCTGCAACGTCACCAGCACGAGCCACGCCCAGCGCGCCACGTCAGGCTGAACGATGAGTCAGTGGCTGCGCGGCGGGCGGGTCAAGGGTCGGCCCCACCCACAACCCTGTCACATGGTCAGTGACGTATCACTAGTCTGGGCAGCAGCCTGCATTCCTATACTGAGAGATAAAACATTCACTGGGAATCCACCATTATCCTCAGTGTCAGCCAGGACCATAACTACTGAACCATGTCAGCCAGGACCATAACTAATGAATGAGAATGGAGGGACCATAACTACTGAACCATGTCAGCCAGGACCATAACTACTGAATGAGAATGGAGGGACCATAACTACTGAACCATGCCAGCCAGGACCATAACTACTGAATGAGAATGGAGGGACCATAACTACTGAACCATGCCAGCCAGGACCATAACTACTGAATGAGAATGGAGGGACCATAACTACTGAACCATGTCAGCCAGGACCATAACAACTGAATGAGAATGGAGGGACCATAACTACTGAACCATGCCAGCCAGGACCATAACTACTGAATGAGAATGGAGGGACCATAACTACTGAACCATGTCAGCCAGGCCCATAACTACTGAATGAGAATGGAGGGACCATAACTACTGAACCATGCCAGCCAGGACCATAACTAATGAATGAGAATGGAGGGACCATAACTACTGAACCATGCCAGCCAGGACCATAACTACTGAATGAGAATGGAGGGACCATAACTACTGAACCATGCCAGCCAGGACCATAAGTACTGAATGATCATGGAGGGACCATAACTACTGAACCATGCCAGCCAGGACCATAACTACTGAATGAGAATGGAGGGATCATAACTACTGAACCATGCCAGCCAGGACCATAACTACTGAATGAGAATGGAGGGACCATAACTACTGAATGAGAATGGAGGGACCATAACTACTGAACCATGCCAGCCAGGACCATAACTACTGAATGAGAATGGAGGGACCATAACTACTGAACCATGCCAGCCAGAACCATAAGTACTGAATGATCATGGAGGGACCATAACTACTGAATGAGAATGGAGGGACCATAACTACTGAACCATGTCAGCCAGGACCATAAGTACTGAATGAGAATGGAGGGACAGTAACTACTGAATGAGAATGGAGGGACCATAACTACTGAATGAGGATGGAGGGACCATGTCAGCCAGGACCATAACTACTGAATGAGAATGGAGGGACCATAACTACTGAATGAGAATGGAGGGACCATGTCAGCCAGGACCATAACTACTGAATGAGAATGGAGGGACCATAACTACTGAACAATGTCAGCCAGTACCATAACTACTGAATGAGAATGGAGGGACCATAACTACTGAACAATGTCAGCCAGGACCATAACTACTGAATGAGAATGAAGGGACCATAACTACTGAACCATGACAGCCAGGACCATAACTACTGAATGAGAATGGAGGGACCATAACTACTGAACCATGCCAGCCAGTACCATAACTACTGAACCATGCCAGCCAGGCCCATAACAGCTGAATGAGAATGGAGGGACCATAACTAGTGAACCATGACAGCCAGGACCATAACTACTGAATGAGAATGGAGGGACCATAACTACTGAATGAGGATGGAGGGACCATCTCAGCCAGGACCATAACTACTGAATGAGAATGGAGGGACCATGTCAGCCAGGACCATAACTACTGAATGAGAATGGAGGGACCATAACTACTGAATGAGGATGGAGGGACCATCTCAGCCAGGACCATAACTACTGAATGAGGATGGAGGGACCATGTCAGCCAGGACCATAACTACTGAATGAGGATGGAGGGACCATAACTACTGAACCATGTCAGCCAGGACCATAACTACTGAATGAGAATGGAGGGACCATGTCAGCCAGGACCATAACTACTGAATGAGAATGGAGGGACCATAACTACTGAACAATGTCAGCCAGTACCATAACTACTGAATGAGAATGGAGGGACCATAACTACTGAACAATGTCAGCCAGGACCATAACTACTGAATGAGAATGAAGGGACCATAACTACTGAACCATGACAGCCAGGACCATAACTACTGAATGAGAATGGAGGGACCATAACTACTGAACCATGCCAGCCAGTACCATAACTACTGAACCATGCCAGCCAGGACCATAACTACTGAATGAGAATGGAGGGACCATAACTACTGAACCATGCCAGCCAGTACCATAACTACTGAACCATGCCAGCCAGGCCCATAACAGCTGAATGAGAATGGAGGGATCATAACTACTGAACCATGCCAGCCAGGCCCATAACTGCTGAACCATGCCAGCCAGGCCCATAACTACTGAATGAGAATGGAGGGACCATAACTAGTGAACCATGACAGCCAGGACCATAACTACTGAATGAGAATGGAGGGACCATAACTACTGAATGAGGATGGAGGGACCATCTCAGCCAGGACCATAACTACTGAATGAGAATGGAGGGACCATAACTACTGAACCATGCCAGCCAGGCCCATAACTACTGAACCATGCCAGCCAGGCCCATAACAGCTGAATGAGAATGGAGGGATCATAACTACTGAACCATGCCAGCCAGGCCCATAACTGCTGAACCATGCCAGCCAGGCCCATAACTACTGAATGAGAATGGAGGGACCATAACTACTGAACCATGCCAGCCTGGACCATAACTACTGAATGAGAATGGAGGGATCATAACTACTGAACCATGCCAGCCAGGACCATAACTACTGAATGAGAATGGAGGGACCATAACTACTGAACCATGTCAGCCAGGCCCATAACTACTGAATGAGAATGGAGGGACCATAACTACTGAACCATGCCAGCCAGGCCCATAACAACTGAATGAGAATGGAGGGACCATAACTACTGAACCATGCCAGCCAGGACCATAACTACTGAATGAGAATGGAGGGACCATAACTACTGAACCATGCCAGCCAGGACCATAACTACTGAACCATGCCAGCCAGGACCATAACTACTGAATGAGAATGGAGGGACCATAACTACTGAACCATGCCAGCCAGGACCATAACTACTGAACCATGTCAGCCAGGACCATAACTACTGAATGAGAATGGAGGGATCATAACTACTGAACCATGCCAGCCAGGACCATAACTACTGAATGAGAATGGAGGGATCATAACTACTGAACCATGCCAGCCAGGACCATAACTACTGAATGATCATGGAGGGACCATAACTACTGAATGAGAATGGAGGGACCATAACTACTGAACCATGTCAGCCAGGACCATAAGTACTGAATGAGAATGGAGGGACCATAACTACTGAATGAGAATGGAGGGACCATAACTACTGAATGAGGATGGAGGGACCATGTCAGCCAGGACCATAACTACTGAATGAGAATGGAGGGACCATAACTACTGAATGAGAATGGAGGGACCATGTCAGCCAGGACCATAACTACTGAATGAGAATGGAGGGACCATAACTACTGAACAATGTCAGCCAGTACCATAACTACTGAATGAGAATGGAGGGACCATAACTACTGAACAATGTCAGCCAGGACCATAACTACTGAATGAGAATGAAGGGACCATAACTACTGAACCATGACAGCCAGGACCATAACTACTGAATGAGAATGGAGGGACCATAACTACTGAACCATGCCAGCCAGTACCATAACTACTGAACCATGCCAGCCAGGCCCATAACAGCTGAATGAGAATGGAGGGACCATAACTAGTGAACCATGACAGCCAGGACCATAACTACTGAATGAGAATGGAGGGACCATAACTACTGAATGAGGAAGGAGGGACCATCTCAGCCAGGACCATAACCGAATGAGAATGGAGGGACCATGTCAGCCAGGACCATTATAACTACTGAACGAGAATGGAGGGACCACAACTACTGAATGAGGATGGAGGGACCATCCCCAGCCAGGACCATAACCTGAATGAGCGGATGGAGGGACCATCAGCCAGACCATAACTACTGAATGAGGATGGAGGGACCCTAACTACTAAAACCATGTCAGCCAGACCATAACCATTAGCTGAGGAATGAGGGACCACAGTCAGCCAGGACCATAACCACTGAATGAGAATGGAGGGGGCCATGTCAGCCAGGACCATAACTACTGAATGAGGATGGAGGGACCATGTCAGCCAGGACCATAACTACTGAATGAGAATGGAGTGACCATGCCAGCCAGGACCATAACTACTGAATGAGAATGGAGGGACCATAACTACTGAACCATGCCAGCCAGGACCATAACTACTGAATGAGAATGAAGGGACCATAACTACTGAACCATGCCAGCCAGGACCAGAACTACTGAACCATGCCAGCCAGGACCAGAACTACTAAATGAGAATGGAAGGACCATAACTACTGAACCATGTCAGCCAGGACCATAACTACTGAATGAGAATGGAGGGACCAAGTCAGCCATGGCCATAACTACTGAATGAGAATGGAGGGACCATAACTATTGAACCATGTCAGCCAGGACCATAACTACTGAATGAGAATGGAGGGACCATCTCAGCCAGGACCATAACTACTGAATGAGGATGGAGGGACCATGTCAGCCAGTACCATAACTACTGAAGGAGATTGGAGGGACCATTTCAGCAAGGACCATAACTACTGAATGAGGATGGAGGGACCCTAACTACTGAACCATGTCAGCCAGGACCATAACTACTGAATGAGAATGGAGGGACCATGTCAGACAGGACCATAACTACTGAATGAGAATGGAGGGGGCCATGTCAGCCAGGACCATGACTACTGAATGAGGATGGAGGGACCATGTCAGCCAGGACCATAACTACTGAATGAGAATGGAGGGACCATGTCAGACAGGACCATAACTACTGAATGAGAATGGAGGGGGCCATGTCAGCCAGGACCATAACTACTGAATGAGGATGGAGGGACCATGTCAGCCAGGACCATAACTACTGAATGAGATTGGAGGGACCATGTCAGCAAGGACCATAACTACTTAATGAGGATGGAGGGACCATCTCAGCCAGGACCATAACTACTGAATGAGAATGGAGGGACCATAACTACTGAATGAGAATGGAGGGACCATGTCAGCCAGGACCATAACTACTGAATGAGAATGGAGGGACCATAACTACTGAACAATGTCAGCCAGTACCATAACTACTGAATGAGATTGGAGGGACCATGTCAGCAAGGACCATAACTACTTAATGAGGATGGAGGGACCATCTCAGCCAGGACCATAACTACTGAATGAGAATGGAGGGACCATAACTACTGAATGAGAATGGAGGGACCATGTCAGCCAGGACCATAACTACTGAATGAGAATGGAGGGACCATAACTACTGAACAATGTCAGCCAGTACCATAACTACTGAATGAGATTGGAGGGACCATGTCAGCAAGGACCATAACTACTTAATGAGGATGGAGGGACCATCTCAGCCAGGACCATAACTACTGAATGAGGATGGAGGGACCATGTCAGACAGGACCATAACTACTGAATGAGAATGGAGGGACCATAACTACTGAACCATGTCAGCCGGGACCATAACTACTGAATGAGATTGGAGGGACCATCTCAGCCAGGACCATAACTACTGAATGAGGATGGAGGGGCCATATCAGCCAGGACCATAACTACTGAATGAGATTGGAGGGACCATGTTCGCAAGGACCATAACTACTGAATGAGAATGGAGGGACCATAACTACTGAACCATGTCAGCCGGGACCATAACTACTGAATGAAAATGTCATACAGGACCAATACTACTGAATGAGGATGGAGGGACCACGTCAGCAAGGACAATAACTACTAAATGAGGATGGAGGGGCCATGTCAGCCAGGACCATAACTTGTGAATGAGAATGGAGGGGGAATATTTAGCAAGTTACTTCTACTGTGTTGTTTCTTCCCTAAACCAGGAATCATGGGGACTTTCAGGGGATTTGCAATTATTTACGCAAAATCATTACACTGCATTTTTCCCTCATTTTGATAATTTTTTTGTCCACAGCTACTTTTGCCTAATATATGCTAGTCTTCCTTGAATCTCCAGAATTGCTGGATTAGTGAACATGCATTTCCCTGGGGATGGGGATTTGTTTTCCAAACACTGACAGGGTTATTTACTATAGTGAGAATTAAAAATGACTTTCAAATTTAGTCCAGTAAGCATATATCTGGCTATAGAGCATGAGAGAATCAGGGCAGGCAGCAAGTGGATATCAGGGTAGTGAGAGAGTCAGGGCAGGCAGTAAGTGGATATTGTAGTGGGAGAGTCAGGGCAGGCAGTAAGTGGATATCGGAGTGAGAGAGTCAGGGCAGGCAGTAAGTGGATATCAGGGTAGTGAGAGTGAGAGAGTCAGGGCAGGCAGTAAGTGGATATCGTAGTGCGAGAGTCAGGGCAGTCATTAAGTGGATATCATGGTAGTGAGAGAGTCAGGGCAGGCAGTAAGTGGATATTGTAGTGAGAGAGTTAGGGCAGGCAGTAAGTGGATATTGTAGTGGGAGAGTCAGGGCAGGCAGTAAGTGGATATCGGAGTGGGAGAGTCAGGGCAGGCAGTAAGTGGATATCAGGGTAGTGAGAGTGAGAGAGTCAGGGCAGGCAGTAAGTGGATATCGTAGTGAGAGAGTCATTAAGTGGATATCGTAGTGAGAGAGTCAGGGCAGGCAGTAAGTGGATATCAGGGTAGTGAGAGAGTCAGGGCAGGCAGTAAGTGGATATCGTAGTGAGAGAGTCAGGGCAGTCAGTAAGTGGATATTATGGTAGTGTGAGTGAGTGAGGCAGTGTATATCAGGGTACTGAAAGTGAGAGAGTCAAGGCAGACAGGGTATATCAGGGTAGTTAGAGGGAGAGAGTCAGGACAGACAGTGTATATCAGGATACTGAGAGAGACAGTGTAGACAGTGTATATCAGGGTTGTGAGAGTGAGAGAGTCAGGGCAGACAGCAAATATCAGGGTAGTGAGAGAGTTAGGGCCGATAGCGTATATCAGGGTACCAAGAGTGAGAGAGTCAGGGCAGACAGCGTATATCAGGGTACCGAGAGTGAGAGAGTCAGGGCAGATGGCGTATATCAGGATACTGAGAGAGAGAGTCAGGGCAGACAGGGTATATCAGGGTGCTGAGAGTGAGAGAGTCAGGGCAGACAGCATATATTAGGGTTGAGTGAGAGAGGCAGGGTATATCAGGGTACTGAGAGTGAGAGAGTCTGGGTAGACAGCGTATATTAGGGTCGAGTGAGAGAGTCGGGGCAGACAGCGTATATCAGGGTAGTGACAGTGTCAGGGCAGACAGCGTATATCAGGGTACTGAGAGTCAGGGCAGACAGCTTATATCAGGGGAGTGAGAGAGTCAGAGCAGACAGCGTATATCAGGGTAGTGTCAGTGTCAGGGCAGACAGCGTATATCAGGGTGATACTCAGTAATACCCAGTGATTTAGTGATACTCAGTGATATAATTTGATACTCTGTGATATACAGTTATACCCAATGATATAGTGATATACAATGTTATGGTGATATATAGTGATATACAGTAATCAGTGGTGTGCACACAATCCATGGGACCCCGGTGTGAAACTGATCCTTGGGCCCCCTTTCCCCCCAACAGACACACACACAGACGCATACATGCAGAGACACATAGATAAAGACACACAGACAGATACACACAGACACATACTGTGACAGATCCCCCTATCCCATTAATACTGTATTTTCTATTTACTGATCAGTATATGAACCTAACCGAATGGATTGCCTCATCTGGTTCTGTGACGAATTGCACTTCGCCACTGGGTTTTGGAGAGGCCTGCTTGCCAGCCTCTTGCCTTGTGGCTATGGCCCCTTGGATGTATTGTCTTTTGAAAACTCCATTTGTACATATTGGATTCTAAAGTACTGTTTCTGCCCCTTAAAAACTATTGGAAATGATTTGCACTTTCGAAGTGGCACTTCGGATACAGCTGATGCCATTCGACATACGAACACGTGTCAGCGGCCATTTTAATTCAGTCAAATGTGTTCAGCAGTGTTTGGTCATCGAGTTCATGGAACACAAATCAGATACGCGGCGAACACCGCTGAACTTTACCTTCTCCAGACTTCAACCCTTCGGAAATCGAAGTGTGTTCGACAATTCGAACGCCACTTTAACTTTGAGTATTTGCATGAACGGCCGGCCCCCGTTTGTGCATTCGAACAGAACTTAGTATTTGAACTATTGGAAATAGACCGGCCGCACAGCCAATTTCTCTGGAACTGTTTTGGGCATTAAAATGTGCGTGCGGTCGGTCAACTATGACTTCCACAAAACGTTTGAACCCCTGCTCTGATCTGGGTGATTTTTGGATATGTTGTTCACCAAGATCAGGGCTGTCCAGGGATATAACATGAGGATATGTGGTGTTTTGGGTAAAAATTAATATTTACTGCCTGTGGATAATTAGGTTATTCCATGGGCTTGCTGACTGTATGTGGGAATGTTACTGTGTTAATTACTATTCTTATTGGTTTGGTGACTTTGTGTCCTGTGCTCCACAAGGTCCACGTGGGTGGTAATCTTGTGGGGAAAATGTGTATAAAGTAAATGCCTTTGTGCTTATTAAACCAGAGATCTGCTTAACCCTCAATACGTAGCCTCATCTCGTCTTTGTAGGGAACTCCCCTGGGCTCTAATCACTTAGCTCTTTTAAGAGCTGTTCCTGTTACGCTCTCCTGGAGAAGAGGTCTCCCCCACACGGTCCTGGATATCAGAGGTTGCCTCGCCTCGTGTTTGTAGGGACCTGCTATGCAAGCTGTGACGAAAGCAACTCCGCCACTGGTTTTTGGAGGGGCCTGTTTGACAGCCTCCTAACATGGGACTATGGGCCCTGTGATAACCCATTTTCAGAAGTACTGTTTCTGCCCCTTGGATTTTTAACTGGAACAGATTCAAACGTGGTGGCGGTGGCCATCTTAAATTGTCCAAGAGTGTTTTATCGTTGAGTGTATAAAAACTGTTTTGGGCATGGGACCATGTGCATTTAGGGGCAAAAATAAGACTTCCAGGAAATTCCTGAAGCCCTGAACGGATCTGGATGATTTTTGGATATGTTGTTTACCCAGATCGGGGCTATCAGGGGATGTGGTATTTTGGGGTAATTTTTCGGGTTTGTAAAAATTTACCTTTTTTTTCTGCTTAGAGTTAATTATATCACCGGCAGAGGGGAGGCTTGCTGACTGTATGTGGGAGTGTTACAGTAATAATTATTGTTCCCATTGGTTTATGTTCCTTTTGTCCCTGTGTTCCATCAGGTCCAGGGGGTGTGCCTCTGGCCTGAAAATGTGTATAAAAGAAATGCATTTTGCTCAATAAACCGCCGCTCAATAATCCTGTGGATTCCTGGGGCACCTCCCGGTACGAAAAGAGGAGATGCGGCAGGAATCGCTCCCAGTCTCTGAAGGTGTTTGTGAACGTCTTCAGCATCTGCTTCAGAGTCCCGTTAAAGCTCTCACAGAGACCGTTAGTCTGAAGATGGTACAGGGAGCTTGTCAGGGGTTTAATTCCGCTGACCTCCCATAGCTGTTGGGTCAATTCTGCAGTGAACTGCGTACCCCGGTCAGATAAAATCTCTTTGGGGAATCCCACTAGAGAGAAAATCTTGACCAGGGCATTAGCCACATTCTCAGCGTGGATGTTGGAGACAGCTACTGCCTCTGGGTAGTGGTTGGTGTAGTCCACTACGGTAAGTATAGAGCGCTTACTGGAGTGGCTAGGCTGGGCAAGTGGTCCTATGAGATCTACTGTTACCCTCGTGAAAGGTTCCTCAATGATGGGCATAGGAACCATTTTGGCTTTAGGGTCGTCTCCCTATTTACCTACCCTTTGGCATACCTCACAGGTCTAGCAATAATTCTGGATGTCATCGGATACCCCAGGCCAGAAAAAGTTCTGGGTTATCCGGTGTAACGTCCGGCGTATCCCCAAATGCCCTGCTAATGGGACATCATGCCCTATTCGCAACAACTCCCGCCGGTACTTTTTGGAGATCACCAGCTGGCGTTTTTGTTGGGGTCCGGGTGCATTGACCCTGGACTCCGTAAGCCTGTACAATCGGCCACACTCCCAGACTAACTGCTCCTCCCCTTATCTGCCTTGGCCTACCCTAGCCTTTTCCCTGTACTTTCTACTACTACCCATTCGTCTGCAGCCACTTTGTGTAGGGCACACTGGCGCTCAAGATCTGCCATCAATTTCACTTTGTCTCATTAAAACTTTTAAAAGCGCTGAAGGGAATCTTCCGCGATTCGACTGTGTTGCTATCTCCGTTCAGTGAAATCACTGCCGTTCGTTGGTTTTCAGCCAGCCTCAGCTGTAGCTCTCGCTGTTCCCTTGTGTTCGCATTTTCAGTCACATTGTTGATCACCTGCATGATGATTTCGGGAGATGGGTTTGGCCCGAACAGTGCCAGTCGTTCCCTGATCTCCCTGTTGACCAGTGTTTCATTTTCCTGAACGGTCGGTGTTGCCGCAGCCAAGTTCTTATGACCCGCTTGGCTCTGATGCTGGTAATACCTCCACGAACTCCCAATAGTTCCTTTAACATGTTGCGCTTAAGCTGTGTGTACCAGCCTTCCATTCACTATACACCAGTGCCCACCTTGGATTCTTAATGCAGGACAAAAGGGATGATCCCACCAGTGCCATCCAGTTGTGACGATCTGAATAGTTATTACCGTCTTGCATTCCCTTATTCCATAAAATAATAACGCCAATAATCCATAGGTTTCAATATCACTGGTGTCGCATAATAACCCACACGTGAGCCAAAGCTTAATGCTGGGACAAGACTGGTTTAATGGGAAAACAGGCATTCAATTTATACAGTACATAACTCCTCCTCTGAGCCAGAGAGATAATTGATTTTTGAGAACATACTAAACTTAATAATCTGCTGGTCTGAAAAAGTTAACATTTTCAAAATTTTCAGAAATACCCCAAAACTGTATAAAAACCCCACAAAATATCCCTGGGTAGCTTATCTCTGTGGGAGTAACATATCAAAATTTCAGCCAAATCCGTTCGGTAGTTTCCGAACGGCACCGTGAAAAAAGTTGACCGATCTGCCACGAGTGTGAATCCAAGAAACAGTTCCAGAGGTTTTGTAGCAAGAGCCGGTCTCCATTTGTGGAGATTCATATGAAAACCGCAATAGATAAAATAGAGATGGTTCATGCAGAATGCTCCTTGCGTTTGTCTGTTTCAAACTCCCAAACGCCGTTCGTCTAAAGTGCTGGGAAATAAAACATAGGGGAGTTCCACCTAGACCGGGATTCGTGCGAGTGCCTTGCCAAAAATAGTTCCAGGCACTCGACGACCAAGTCCCACTGGCCGCTTTCGGGAGACAAGATGGCTGCCACCCATTGTTCTCACCATGTGTATTCGTATGCACGAAATGGCGGCCACCTAGGAGCATTCAATTAGTCTGTGGTTTTCGTATTGCTACACAGTGTTCCATGTTCTAATTAGTCCCAGGGTGGTCTCCGTTCGGTAAAATAAACAAGTTAACGAATGGCCATGAAAAAGAAACGAATAACTGAGGAAAGTTACTAGCAGGGAATGCAAATAGCTGAACGGTGATGGCAATTAGCCGAACGGTGAAGGGGTATTCCTTCACAAGTTAGATTAAAAACAAGAGGGGGGGGGCGTGGCCAGCCGTGCAACTGAGCAGACGTGTTTGCAGGGAGCTCCTGCTAAACACACTGAAAATACCCCCAAAAAAGCCACGAAAAACACACAGCTCACCCTATAACCAAGACAGGGGTGCCACTGAACCCCCCAAGAGAGAGATGGGGCGCAAGCACCGCAAATTACTGGCATCGGAGGCTTCTAAACTTCCAGATATCAGGAGGTCATTCGATAGGCCGCAGCAGACAGCGCAGCCTAAGATGGCGCCTGCCAGGCCTCGAGGATCCAGCGAGTCAGAGACGTCCCCAGATGAAGAGGGCTCGATGTCAACACGGGCCCTCAGCAGAGTTTATCAGAGAGAGGACTCCGACTCAGACACGTCGCCCTCCACCAAGGGGGACATTAAGAGGCTCCTGCTCGAGCTCTGTGGGGTCTGGAAGAAGGACCAAGATGGGGTGCGTGGAGAGATGGGCGGCATCATGGCCAGGTTGGGAGCAGTCGAGACAAGAGAGAAAGAAAGGGACACCAACCTCACAGAGACCCGAGCTCACATAGCAGATCTCTCCCAGCAGCTCCAGCGACTCACCCGGGCCGTCACTACCATTGAGGCTAGGCACCGAATGAAAAACATACGTATAAGAGGGGTGCCAGAGTCAGCACTAGATTTTGCCAATAAAATGGCCGCTGTACTGGAGGTTAGAGGAGAGGGTGGGCTGCCGCCCGTGTCCTATGCGTTCGGCACACGGAAGGCCGCAACAGCCCCTGTGGACGCCCCCAGGGATATCATCGCGGTCACCCGGAGCCCGGCAGTGAAGAGAGCGATGCTGACCAGCTCACGGAGCACACCCCTCATAGCTGTCGAAAACTGCCAAGTGAGAATCTTTGATGACCTACCTTTCGCTGTCCTGCTGGAGAGACGCAGATTCATGCCAGTCACCAAACTCCTCAGAGACCACGGAGTCAGGTATAGATGGGGCACATCAGGTACCCTGGTGGTACCACACGGAGACGCAGTGTTGACGCTGTCCGCAGCAGAGGATCCGGCGGCCTTCCTAGAGAAGCTCCAATTACCACATTCATCGCCCGCGGTGCCCACGGAGCACAGGACTTTACCAACCGACACTCACACCACCGAGAAGGAAGAAAACCCTGGCACAGCAACAGTGAAACGGCAACCACTACATCAGCGCCCTCCATAGGTCGGGTAACCCTGAAGGGAGGCAGCTGCTAAGAAACCTGACAGGCCAGAACATAAGAGGTACTTATATATTCTACTGCAAAGCCTTATACACAATGCACTGGAGCTACCTCCGAGTGCGGTTAACACGTCTACCCTAACACCACATGAGCTACTAATGTGTTCTACCACTATGTTTACTTAAATGTTATAAAAGTTACCTACATGTTTTAACAATAAGTACGTATTACATTTACACGAGCCGCTAGTGCCCTACCAATATGCGCTACTTTTAACTTCGCAAGAGTCACTAGTATGAAGTACCACAATATTTATCCTTTAAACTCATAAGGGAGGTCATTATGCTTCCGACCCTACATGACTCGCTCAAGAGGTACCCCGTGTTGCCTGCTATGAGCCCGCTTGGGCCGCCGACAATATCGGACCAACCTGATGGTCGCAAGCCTGCAGGGCCTGTCGGAGATTTAAAACCCGTAAAGTACACTTTGAGCCCGCCAGAACAACTAGCACGCTACACCAATCTAATAACCCCCTAAAGTGCTGTTCGCGGGTTCTATCACATTGGGAATGTTCAACCCCCTCCGGCGCCTGGTACGCCACATCTATGTAATGGCCCAAAACATGAGCGGCTAGAGAGCCACGTAATTTTACACTTTTTACACATATAAGAACAGCTAACGTGAGACACAGACTAGTATGTCCTATGTCTTCTGTTTTATCTATATACTTCTTAAATCTTGCACCCACCTGAGAGGATGCACCAAGATTGTCTCATATATATTACTACTTAATGTCATGTTTAATCCTTATTCTTATGCATTGGATGACTGTATATTTCTATTCAAACCAGTCAAGATTTCTCCACAACAAAAATAAAGAATTAAAAAAACAAAAAAAAACAAAAGAAGGGAAGTATGTAGAAGAGTATAAAGGTCTAGCTGACTGTCTCAATGCATATTTTTGTTCAGTATTTACAGATGAAAATTAAGGAAAGAGGCCTGAATTATGAGAAAGGGCAAATGATTAATTTGTTAAATGTGAGTTTACAGAGGAAGAGGTTCTATTTCAACTGTGAAAAGTAAAGACAAATAAGTCAGTGGGACCTGATGGAATACACCCAAAGTTATTAAAAGAGCTTAGTGGTGTACTAGCAAAACCATTAGCAGATTTATTTAACTAATCATTGTTAACAGGAGTAGTCCCAGAAGATTAAAAGTTAGCGAATGTTAATGCCCATTCACAAGAAAGGTAGTAGGGAGGAGTCAGGCAACTATAGGCCAGAAAGCCTTACTTCAGTAGTGGGGAAAGTGATGGAAACCATGTTAAAGGATAGGATTGTTGAACATCTAAAAACACATGGATTTCAAGATCAGAGACAACATGGGTTTAGTTCAGGGAGATCTTGCCAAACTAATCTTATTGATTTTTTTTTTGATTGGGTAACTAAAATAATCAGGGTGGTGCAATAGACATTGCTTACCTAGATTTCAGTAAGGCCTTTGACACTGTTGCACATAGAAGGCTTATCAATAAACTGCAAACTTTAACCCCTTAAGGACACATGACATGTGTGACATGTCATGATTCCCTCACAATGGATATGGATTGACATATGACATATTGACACCTTGACATATGGATTCACACCTGTCCTCAGAGACCCTGATACACACTGACACAGAGCAGAATAGGGACTGCTCCCCCTACATAGGGTCACTTGGCAGATATGTATTGACACCTATCCTCAGGATCCCTGATACACACTGACACAGAGCAGAATAGGGACTGTTCCCCCTACATAGGGTCACTTGGCAGATATGGATTGACACCCATCCTAAGGATCCCTGATACACACTGACACAGAGCAGAATAGGGACTGTTCCCCCTACATAGGGTCACTTGGCAGGTATGGATTGACACCTATCCTCAGGATCCCTGATACACACTGACACAGAGCAGAATAGGGACTGTTCCCCCTACATAGGGTCACTTGGCAGATATGGATTGACACCTATCCTAAGGATCCCTGATAATGTGACGATACCTTACCTGTGTCCGCCGATCCCGCGCGGCACGGCAGTTTCCCCGGCTGCTTCCGGGGGGCGGCGCAGCCTCTCGGACGCTGCCCGCTCGCGGCAAAATCCGTTTTATGACGCGGCGCATGCGCGCCGACGTCATAATGATTTTGCCGCAAAAATTCAAATGCGGCCACGCTTCCGAACCTTTTGGGGGTGTGGCTTTAAAGTGACACACACACATTAGTATAAAAGGGCATCCCTGTCCACCCCTCAGTGCCCTAGTGTGGTTCTTGATTGTTCCCCTAGAGCTCTTATACTGTTTAGCTGTTTTTCTGGTATTTTGACCCTTGGCTTTCGTTCTGACTATTCTCCTATCTGGCTCCCCGACTTTTGGCTTGGCTTTCTCGTTTATCCCGATTTCCGTACTCCCTTGACCCTCGGCTTTTTCTTGACTATTCTTTGACGTTAAGTCCGGCCAACCTAAGGTCCGGTATACGTCCCTTTCTGGGTTACCATCTTTGTGAAGGGGTCACTATCGTGACATTACACTAGGGCCATGGACCCTGCAGGTGCTAATCCTCATGGCCCGGTTCCTGATAATCGGTTTGAGGAACTGGACCATCGTATGGACCAGTTTGCTGTAGCTGTTCAGACTTTGTTAGCTCGGACTGCACATCTACAGCCAGAGGACCATATCCCGGGTCTTAGACCCCAGGAACCTCATTTGGAGATGGCGGCAGGGGGGGCTTCTGCCCATGCCACATCCCCTCTCCGTTATGGAGGTGATCCCAAGGGTTGTCGGGGTTTCCTCAATCAAATAAGTATTAACTTTGAACTTCATCCTAGGGCGTATCCTACCGATAGAGCAAAGATTGGTTATATTATAACATTGTTAGTCGATAGAGCACTAGTTTGGGCCAATCCATTGTGGGAAAACGACAATCCCATAGTTTTCAACTATGCAGAGTTTGTCGCAGCCTTTAGGAGAACATTTGATCCCCCTGGAAGACGTACCAATGCTGCTAAAACCCTATTACGAATGAGACAAGGGTCTCGTTCCCTGGTGGACTATGCCCTAGAATTTCGCACTCATGCTGCAGAGGTCAGATGAAATGAGCAGGCCTTTGTAGATGTGTTCATGAATGGACTTTCTGACAAACTTTTAGATGAGGTAGCCACCCGAGACCTCCCTAATGTGTTGGAGGAATTAATTACATATCTAGCACATATAGACGAACGTCTCCGACATAGACAAAACACCAGGGATAGACCTAGGCGTATGCCGGAACGCATGGCATTAACGTTTCCTTCATCTGAGGAAACCACTGTCGCTCCAGCAGAACCCATGCAATTGGGAGCCACACGGTTGCCTGAACCTGAGAGACAATATAGACGAAGGGAGGGACTTTGTATGTATTGTGGGAAAAGAGGACATACCCGCCTACACTGCCCAAGCCGGCCGGAAAACTCCAACGCCTAAGCCCTCAAGGAGGACAGGCCTTGGGTGTAACGTGTATGTCCTCCTTCCAAGATAGGAAAGAACTCAGGCTTCTTCTACCGATAACTATAGAATGGGAGGGAAAGTTAATAACTACTTCTGCGCTAATAGACTCTGGGGCAGCTGAGAACTTTATTGACCGTACTTTCGGCCAACATCACAACCTCCCATTTCAAGAAAGATCAACACCCTTGGCCGTTGAGGCCATAGATGGTAGACCATTATCCATTCCTTTTATTACTCAAGAATCCAAACCCTTAGTCTTGACTGTAGGTTCGTTGCATAAAGAAACCATAATCCTACAGCAAATACCTTCTCCCACCTTTCCGATTATACTTGGGTTTCCTTGGCTTACCAAGCATAATCCTCTAATTAACTGGGAGAGGAAAGAGATTGTAAAATGGGGTGATTCTTGTTTTAAGGAGTGTATCAGTCGAGTTAAACCTATAGGACTCCTCAACGTTCCTACCATGGAACCATTAACCACTCAAGTACCCGAACCATATCGGGATCTCAAGGCAGTCTTTGAACAAAGGGAAGCAAACAAATTACCACCCCATCGTTCTTATGACTGCGCTATTGATTTGTTGCCTGGTACTATGCCCCCTAGGGGTACCGTGTATCCCCTCTCTGTGACAGAAAACAAAGTACTTGAAGAGTATATCACAGAGAATTTGAAGAAGGGTTTTATTACCAAATCATCCTCCCCGGCTGGTGCAAGGTTTTTTTTTGTTTCGAAAAAGGAAGGTGACCTGAGACCCTGCATCGATTATCGGGGATTAAATCAAATAACAATACGAAATGCATATCCTATTCCGCTCATTACTGAGCTTTTTGATAGGTTAAAGGGTGCTACCATATTCACTAAGCTAGATTTACGGGGAGCTTATAATCTAGTTCGAATTAAGAAGGGACATGAGTGGAAAACGGCCTTCAATACTTGCTATGGCCATTATCAATATAGGGTTATGCCCTTCGGCTTATGCAACGCTCCGGCAGTCTTTCAAGATTTCATAAACGATGTATTAAGGGACTGTCTACAAATGTTTGTTGTTGTTTATTTAGATGACATATTCATCTACTCTAAGAATATCAAGGAGCACAATAGACACGTTAGAATAGTGTTATCCAAATTATTAAAAAACGGACTCTACTGTAAATTAGAAAAATGTTTATTTGACGTGGAGAAGGTTAATTTCTTGGGTTACATAATTTCAGGTTCCGGCTTTCAAATGGAACCTAAAAAACTAGAAGCAATTTTAAATTGGCCCCTACCCATTGGACTTAAAGCCATCCAACGTTTCCTGGGGTTTGCTAATTACTATAGAAAGTTTATCAGAGGATTTTCCTCTATTACCGCTGTCATGCCAAAAGCATGAGTTGGTGTTTGATGTGTGTTTATATATGTTAAGAGTTGTTTTTTTGTAAACCTTGGGATGACATTTATTGTGGTCTTTGATCTTGCACCAGGCCTAGACCATAAAACATCTAGATAGCCATCACCAGAGCTGGACACAAGGAATTTCATAGAGTGGGCAATAGACTGCCAGACCAGCCCCCTCTGATCCCCCCCCCAGGGGTCTGCCCACTGAGAAACAACTAGTTTAGATATATGAGGGTGTTGGACTATCCAGGGAAGTTAGTTATTCATTTTTCTTTTGTCAGTAACTTCTAGGAGACCTATATCATCTAAGACTCCCACAAGAATTCTATATGGGGTAAATATATGTAAGGAATTTCTTGTGTTTTCTCCTATTTTATTTTATGTACTGTTTTGCAATTTGTTTTCTGTATGTCATTTATTTCTGTATTTTGTACTCAGCACTGTGAATCCTTTTTGTCAGATTAAATGTTTACTTAATCAGCTTGTGTCTCTGTTCTCTATGAGCTCCACTCTCCAGAGGAAAGCTCAGGTAAACACGTTACCAAAAGGGGTTAACTATATATGTTTTATCAGTAAAAGTAGAACTGTGATACTATAATTCTCCTGTGTGTGGGGTAACCTAAGACGCCCGGGTTTAAAAGTCTTGGTGGTGGCAGTAGTACTAAGGGGGATAGTGTAGAAGGGATTGCAGGGGTTAATTGAGTGGTTGCTGGGACTATCAACAGGTAACCAGGGGTCTGGTGTCATTAACCCTGTCACTTCCACACTCTCCCCACTGTCTCGGCTGGGCCTATAGCCCACGCACGTGACAACCGCTATGACAAAAAAGAATAGAAGTCATACGGTGTGGAGTACCGAAGCTAAGGAAGCCTTTGAAAAATTGAAGCTAGCCTTTTCTTCAGCCCCGGTGTTAAGTCACCCTAATCCTTTGCGTCCTTTTTTGTTAGAAGTGGATGCTTCAGAGACAGGGATAGGGGCTGTACTCTCTCAGAGATCCTCGAATGATCAACCCCTGCATCCCTGTGGCTATTTTTCAAAAAAACTGACGGAAACAGAACGAAGATACGATATAGGTGATAGGGAATTGTTGGCTATCATTTCAGCACTCAAAGAATGGCGGCATCTATTAGAGGGGACATCTGAACCGATCATCATCCTCACTGATCACAAGAACCTTTCCTATTTTGGAGAAGCTAAAAGAATGTCTGACAGGCAGATTCGTTGGTCTTTGTTCCTAACACATTTTAACTACATAGTGACATACAGACCCGGTTCTAAGAATACGAAAGCAGATGCCTTATCTCGGCAACATGAGCACCTATCTCCACCAGTAACCCATTTATCTTCCATAATCCCTACTTCACAAATAGTTGCCACAGTACGTACTAAAATCTCTTCTAGCTTAATAGAAGTATTGTCTAAATGTCAAAACCACAACTCCCTGACTATCCCTCAGGGGAAATTATACGTACCCTTCAATTATAGAAGACGAATCCTATCCTTGGTACACGACTCTAAGATTGCCGGTCATCCCGGTATCCATAAAACAGAAGCACTACTCGAAAAGCAATTCTGGTGGCCTTCTTACAAGAAGGACGTTCGAGAGTATGTCCTAGCCTGTAACATATGTTCCTCTAATAAGTCTCCTAAAAGTCGCCCTTTAGGCCTCCTCATGCCGTTACCTATTCCCGAAATGCCCTGGTCAAGTATCGCCATGGATTTCATAGTAGACCTACCACCTTCAAAAAATCACCGGATAATCCTAACTATCATCGATAGATTTTCCAAAATGACCCACCTAGTCCCTTTAATTAAACTTCCTTCATCCTCAGAACTGGCCACGATATTCATAAGGGAGGTGGTTCGTTTACATGGTATCCCTACAGACATAGTCTCTGACAGAGGCTCACAGTTTGTTTCCAGGTTTTGGAAGGCGTTTTGTGATCAGTTAGGTATCAAACTTAACCACTCCTCTTCATACCATCCCCAATCCAATGGAGTTACTGAGATAATGAATCAGTCACTAGAACAGTACCTTCGTTGCTTCATCTCCGATCACCAAGATGATTGGAAGGAGTTACTCCCTTGGGCTGAATTCGCCCACAATAACTGGGTTCACGAATCAACAAAACATAGCCCCTTTTTTATAAATTATGGCTTTGACCCTACTACTCTTCCGAGTTCCTTTTCATCCTCCGCAGTGCCAAGTGTTGACTATACTGTAAGGAATATGAAAGAAACTTGGTTAGGGGTCAAGCGTATCCTGACTCATAAGGCCGATGCTCAAAAAAGTAAAGCAGACACCCGGCGCAAGAATGCTCCGAATTTTATAGTGGGAGATAGAGTGTGGTTGAGTACACGCAATATTAAATTACGAGTCCCCTCTATGAAATTTGCTCCGCGATTCATTGGTCCTTTTAGGATCCTCCAACGGATTAATCCAGTCTGTTATCGCCTGGATTTACCAGCTAATATGAGGATACCCAATTCCTTTCATGTTTCTCTTCTGAAACCTTTGATTTGTAATCGCTTTACTCGTAAACCCAGGTCTCCTCGTTCTACGCTCATTGATGGCCAAAACGAATACGAGGTTAAATCTATTTTAGACTCTCGTATCTCTAGAGGTCGGCTCCAGTATCTGTTGGATTGGAAGGGGTACGGTCCCGAGGAAAGGTCATGGGTAGATGCCTCGGACGTGCACGCGCCTCGCCTAGTCCGTTCCTTTGCTAGGCGTCGTTCTCGCGGACCCTGTCCTGCCCGCCCTGGGGGCGGTCCTCGAGGGGGGGGTACTGTGACGATACCTTACCTGTGTCCGCCGATCCCGCGCGGCACGGCAGTTTCCCCGGCTGCTTCCGGGGGGCGGCGCAGCCTCTCGGACGCTGCCCGCTCGCGGCAAAATCCGTTTTATGACGCGGCGCATGCGCGCCGACGTCATAATGATTTTGCCGCGAAAATTCAAACACACAAAGTGACACACACACATTAGTATAAAAGGGCATCCCTGTCCACCCCTCAGTGCCCTAGTGTGGTTCTTGATTGTTCCCCTAGTGCTCTTATACTGTTTAGCTGTTTTTCTGGTATTTTGACCCTTGGCTTTCGTTCTGACTATTCTCCTATCTGGCTCCCCGACTTTTGGCTTGGCTTTCTCGTTTATCCCGATTTCCGTACTCCCTTGACCCTCGGCTTTTTCTTGACTATTCTTTGACGTTAAGTCCGGCCACCCTAAGGTCCGGTATATGTCCCTTTCTGGGTTACCATCTGTGTGAAGGGGTCACTATCGTGACAGATAAACACTGACACAGAGCAGAATAGGTACTGTTCCCCCTACATAGGGTCACTTGGCAGGTATGGATTGACACCTATCCTAAGGATCCCTGATAAACACTGACACAGAGCAGAATAGGGACTGTTCCCCCTACATAGGGTCACTTGGCAGGTATGGATTGACACCTATCCTCAGGATTCCTGATATACACTGACACAGAGCAGAATAGGGAATGTTCCCCCTACATAGGGTCACTTGGCAGATATGGATTGACACGTATCCTAAGGATCCCTGATACACACTGACACAGAGCAGAATAGGGAATATTCACTAAATGCCAAACATTGTTATACAGGGGAATATTCAGTAAATAAGGATAAGGGGGGACCTACTGTCCTCCCCCCCGGCCCCCACCCCTGCACGGTGGGGGCCATAAATCTCAATGGGGGGGGTGACCTACTGTCCTCCCGCCCGTCCCCACCCGTGAGCGGTGGGTGGGGGCCATAAAAATAATGAGGGGGGGGACCTACTGTATGATGTTGTATCGATCAGGTAGTGTAAGGGTTACGCCCGCTTCACAGTGACAGACCAAACTCCCCGTTTAACGCACCGCAAACAACCGCAAACAGTCCATTTGCACAACCGCAAACTCCCCATTTGCACAAGGTTGGATACCAAGCTAGCCATGTCCCGTTCCTTGTCCTCACTGATGTCATTGAAGGTCTCTTCCTCCACCCAGCCACGTACAACACCAAGGGTCCCCAAAAGGTGACAACAAGCCCCCTGGGACGCCTGCTGTGTTTGGTCTTCCACCTCCTCAAAGCCACCTTCCTCCTCTGACTCCTCTTCTTCAGACTCCTCTCTCTGCGTTGCCTCTCTCTGCATTATTATAAGGTGTGTTAAGTTGTATTATTCTTATCAGTTTAATCCCTGTTATGTGCCTTTTTTTTTGGTTTGGTTTTTGAAACCACAGTGCAGCACCAGAGGCCCGAAAAATTAGGCATGTACACATTCCTGAAAAATTAGGTATTGTTGCAGCCGCTGCCAGAAGAATTGATGTTTGTTTCCCAGGCAGAAAGTGCCCTAAAACAGTGTTCCCCAAC